TAAGCTAATTCCTACATAGAGATATAATGGAGATGTGTCAGCAGCTTTGATATGATAATATCACTGCGCCCATACTACTGCAGCTTAAAGAGCAGCAGACTTTAATAATTATAAATAAGTTCACAATGGTCCATCGACAACAGTATTCATGTTACTCATATCATTTTAACATAGATAGTATATTTGTATATACATACTGAGGTTCACCCGTTTGCATATTAGTTCTCATCTTTCTCTGGTCTCCTCAGTCATGGTTTTGATTATGCAGCAAGTGGATTAACAGGGATGCTCAGCTCTCACAGATAAAAACCCCCAACCATGACCAGTTCTCACTTACGTATCAGACCACCTCACTTCAAATCCCATCTGAGTCAGGTTAAACATTGACCAAACATTAGAGAAAAGCTGTACTTGAAAGTAATTCTACATCTTAAAATATTAACATTTTTAATCATATTAGTATTTTGTCTTCCACAATTTTTGAACTACACAGACCACTTCATCTTATTACAGCCATTTAAAACTGTCTAATTGTCCACACCCATCAGAGATGATGCTGAGACTCCTGTTTCTTGTGCCACTTCTGTGTAGAGGCACTTTGGTTTCAAAAGCTTTTAGGCCCACATTTCAGCTGTTTGAATACTTCTCATTCAATAACTGTAGTTTTTAACATAATAAGTTTTAAATGAGACTTTAATTATGTCATTTTAAACTGAAAGGAAAATATAAAAGTTTAGTTTCTTCATCCACCCATCCATCTATTATCTTTTACCCTCTTCTTCCTTTTTGGGCCACGGGGGTCACTGGTGCCCATGTCTAGCAATCACTGTCCGAGAGGTGGGGGACACCCTGGACAGGTCTCAAGTCCATCACAAAGACAGAGACAAATAGACCAACAACCATTCACTCTCTCACTCACACCTAGAGAAAATTCAGAGTTACCAGTCAGCCTAACATGCATGTTTTTGGTCTGTGGGAGGAAACTGGAGTACCTGGAGAAAACCCATGCATGGAGAAAACATGCAAACTCCACCCAGAAAGGTCCCCCAGCTGCGATTTGAACCAGGGCAACCAGCTTGCTGAGAGGCAGCAGCTCTACTAACTTGTTTATTTCCCTCCATGCTAGATCATATGGTTAGCAGGCCTCCTGATTCATGGTTTGAATGTTGCTGCTTGTGACCTAATTATCCTGATCACAAACACACAAGCAGCAAGCCTCAGGGGCAAGAAACAAGCGTGTTTTCAAGCTATTGTAGTGAATGCATGGGTCCGTGGATAAGCTGTGGCCTACAAATTAGCCAACATGACTTCAAAATGCCACCTCAAAAAACTTCCTAAATGAACAGGGTCATCATCTCTGCATTCACAACACAGTTTGGTTTAATACGCACACTTCAGGAATAATGATCACAGACATAATGAAGTGAAATACTTTCACAATTAAATTTCAACTGTTCAGAGATGAGGTAGAGGTTAGGGAAGCCGACTCGGGTACCGAAAGCCCCGGGCTCGATCCCCAGCCATTCCCACATGTCGTGGCGTCTCTGAGCAAGACACTTAATCCTTAATTGCTCCCCGGGTGCTTACATAGCTGCCCACTGCTCCACCTGGGTGCATCTCAGGCGCGATGGGTTAAATGCAGAGAACTAATTTCATCATTGTCTGGGAACAAACAATGATGACAACACATAGCACTTTACTTTACATTTTCTTGAAAATTATAATAATATTACCTTCGTTAATGTTTTTTTTTTCTTCTGCCATTTTTACTTTTGCATACCGTACTTCATTCAACTGCAGCTACTTCTAATTGTTCATGATGTTCAGAAGATGATGGCTATGACTGTTTCTTGTGCAACTTCTGTGTGAAGACATATAGGTTTCAAATGCTTGCAAGCCTAAAGTTCAGCTGTTCAAATACTTCTGCTGAGGCATGTCCATAAACGGCTTCAGGCCATGGCATCATGTACTTCATGCACACCTGTTTTTAAGCAGAAAAACCTTTTAGACTAGTTACTTTTAAATTTCATTTTTGCTACTTTTCCTCAGAGATTTGTTCTGAAGTCAGTATTTTGCGCTTATCTTTTAGCATTTTGTTACTTTGAGGTGTTAACTAGTCTTTTGTTTCTTTAGGTAGCTTTAAGACTGCACTTTGACACTTTTAATTAATGTTCCGCTACTTTTAGCTAACATTTTTAGGGTTTTGCTACTTATAGAAATGGTGTTGCTCCTTTTCTCTTTTAGCTATCGTTGTGTTCCTTGTTATCATTTTGCCTTTTGACCTTTTGGCTAGTATTTTGTTGCTTTACGACTTTAGCTAGTATTTTCCTACAGTTGCCTTAAATAGCACCTTGCCTCTTTAAACAACCTTTAGTTAACGATTTGCTGCTTTTACTTAGCATTTTCCTAGATTTAGGCAAGTTCAGCTACATTTAGCTGCATTTAACTTTTTTGCTAATGTTGCTACTTTAGACTTTTATCTAGCATTTTGCTTTTTTTAGTTAGTGTTGTGCTTTATCTAAATTTAATAGCTCTCAGCTTCTTCAGCAACTTTCTATGGATGTCTTCGATTATTCATCACTTTACATTCTTGCTGCGTTTTGGCAGAAAGCACCGTATGCTGAAACGTTTATAAAGTCCTCTATTGAGGTCCGCAGGCATCTTTTTTTTATGATTCCAGTATCCCAACACCACATCTATTAACAACCACTGATCAACACAAGTGAGAGAAAGAGCTCGTGCTTTGTTCATTATGTTGGTCATGAATTTGCTGTAACCATGTACCGGTAACTCCCTGGGCCCTCTGTTTTCATGTCTGGAGCACGTACGTAAAAACCTGGATGGCTGTGAACTTTTTAAAGTTTAACAAGGAAAGACTGAGGTGATGGTCTCTGGAAGCTCCACAGAGACTCCCAGTGTAGATGTTGGTTCCTTGGCCCAGTACATCAGGACAACTACTACAAACCTAGGGGTCAAAGTCGATGCTGGACTAAAGTTAGAAAATCATATCAGAGCAGTTGTTAAATATAGTTGTTGTTGTTGTTTTTTTTTTAAATTGAGGCAGCTGGCTAAAGTAAAGCCAATTCTTTCTGAGCGGAGTTTCGAAACAGTAATCCACGTGTTTGTGACCACTCGTCTGGATCACTGTAACACACTCTTTACAGGAATCAATGATTCATCTCTCAGCTTCAGAGGGTACAGAACGCTGCTGCACAGCTTTCAACTGGCACACGAACGTTTGACCACATTTCCCGTTTCAGCCTCCCTGCACATTCTAGGATTCATTTTAAAATTATTGTATTTGCTTTTAAAACTCTAAATGGACTTGCCCCGCCCTATCTGTCCGAGTTGCTACGTCCGTACGCACCCTGTTGATCCCTCAGGTCATGTGATCAGCTGCTCCTGCGTGTGCTGAAGACAAAGTGTAAGCTCAGAAGAGACCGTGTTGTTGCTGTGGCAGCTCTTAAACTGTGGAACGACCTTCCCTTCAACATCAGACTCGTCCCTGTCTGTTTTGAAATCCCTTCTTAAAACCCATCTCTTCTCCCTGACCTTTGACACCATGTGAAATGTTGACTTTTAATCATTTTTTATTATTGACTGTATGATTGTTGCATTATGTGTACAGCACTTTGGTCCTGTGCACTCTATAAATAAAGCTGGCATGGTATGGTATAGTAAGTCTAATTACTTTAAATGAACATATTAGGAGCTCTCTGGAGAAAAAAAAGAAAGGGAGGTCCCCCCATCAGCTCCTGTTTCATTCTTTCCACTCGTCTTTAAGCCACAAACCGCTCCGTTCATAGCAACGCAAATAAACACTCCCAGAACTGCAGCACTGCACAAGTATCATGTTAGTTAACAAAGAAGTGGAAATCCTTCGTAGCAGGTTTGTTTTTAGCATGCATCTGGTTTTGTTAACGTCCTCTGGTCTTTATCGCTCAGTACTAAAAGGCAAAAGCACAGGATATATTTTCCTGTGTCAGTGTGTGCATGGGGTCAAGTGTTTGTCTGTTAGCAAAATATCTCATACTACTGGATGGATTTTACTAACATAAGCCAACACAAACATGGCTCTAACTCAGTTTAACACATACTGAGAATAATCTTGATGTGGTAGGAGCTGAGAGCTAGTCACAACATACTGTGAGCGTGACTTTCTTGTCATAAGTTTTGAGATTTCACAAACACCAATTTTCTAAGTTTGACCAAAATGGCTACAATTGTTATTTCTCGGCATAAGATGTTGATTATTTCAGTTTGAAACTCTGGCGTGATAATACACATTCTTTCAAGAACTTTTGGGCTTTGAGCTTTACTAAACTACAATTTCAACAAACTTGCCCTGTCCACCAGGATGTCCTCCATGTCCCCGTCTCTGATCCCTGGATGAGAGTTAGGACCAGACTTTGAACAATCTGGAGTTTTCATCCTTCATTTAGGTGAAAGGTGATTGCAGAGAAATACTCGGGGAAGCTGTCTGCAATGTTTACTGTGTGTGTGTGTGTGTAACTGTCCATCTTCATGTCTCCACGCCACTCATACGTCTCTGACTGAACTTCTAAAAACAGAACTCAAGCGTTGAGCACCACATTTAAAAATAGCAGCAAACACAACAGGCTGTATCTAGATCTAACTAATGAACAACAAGATCCCAAACTGCTGCTCAGAAAAAGAAAGTAAGACATTTGTGTGCTGTTTTTTTTATTGCTATTTTTCTATTTTAGTACTGCTGGCCATGTATGGTGAAAGTGCTCACAGCTGGCTGACTAGGAGCATACTTTCCAAACCCCAGGCAACCTCTGAGAGGAACGGAAAGCAATCCCAGCACAAGATAAAACTAATAAAAATGCAAAACATAAAAGGTGAACAAGAGCTCAAATAAACTCAAACTTGTTTGTTGGGTTAAAGGTTGTCACTATAAAAGCCTTAAAGACCCCCTTCAGAGGAGGCTGTGGGAGACGCACGTTATTAGGAATATCTGTGGGATGAAAACTCACCGTTGAGGCACGGCAGTCCTTTTTCAGTGTGGGCCGAGCAGATCTGCAGCAGCTTGAAGAGGCTCGAGCTCCTCACACGTCTGTCAGCCACTCAACAGCTGCGAGCCATAAATCCCAGAGCTGGAAAACCTCCTGACTGCTCTCCACGAGACGGCGCACCACCCACTCCTCAGCATGTCCACTCTGCCTCTGTCCTACAGATATTTAAATATCATCATCAGTGAGAGAGAAAGAGAGAGAGGAATTGGAGGTTCAGTCAAGCATTTTGCACTAGAACAAAATGGGCAGCTGTTTTTTTTTTCTTCTTTTCTTTTGACAGCCACTTTTACTGCTCAACCCTGAGCTTGAGTCAGAGCTAAGAGGCTCCACGTGAAGGTGGGCTTTCAGATAAACTCTGCTGGGTGACAGGTAGCTGGAGGCGTGGACCTGTAGAGCTATGCAAATGAGACGTACAAAGACGTTTTCTTACTGAAATGGAAATCTAGAGACCACTGAGCTGCATTTTCCTCCCCTGTAACTACAGGGACATATTTTTATTTAATTCAAATAGATCTGAATCATGAACTCAAACATATCCATCCTAAAGCTGGTATTTACCATCAAGTCATGAATTACTTGTACACATTCTGTTTTTCTTGTTCTCTTGTTAAACCGATGTGCTCGGATTTAATACCAGTTGGCACAAGTCAAGTATGACGAGAACTAAATTAGGTCCTAATTGACAATTATTTTTGGTGACAGGTTGCCCTGAAACTAAATGATAGCTTTACGCACTGAGGAGGTGCAGCAGACGTCACTGCCTGAGGAGGAATAAACACAATCGAAGAACTCTGTGGAGTTTGTGCACACAGATTTGGATTGTAAATGCAGTAAAAGATGTATGGGCGCAAATTATGGTCATATTGGCCACAGGAGTACACTCGTCTTTCTAGCAAAGATTTGACCAAAGGTAGGATTTCGATTACTCTGTGGTTTTTGATTCAGGTTTTTGTGTTTTTGTTGCTACGGTTTTATATCATACCATACCATTTTATTTATAAAGCACTTAAAACAGCGACAAGGCCAACCAAAGTGCTGTACAGACAGAACAACAGGTAACACACAAAGCAAAATACAAAATGAGGTAAATCAGAAATAAAGACATAAATACAATGCAGATAATGACGACTAACCAGTGTGGAGCATACATGTTCAAAACACAGATCATCTGGTGTTGAAAGCTATTGAATAGTAGTGAGTTTTTAAACGGGACTTGAAAACCGAGAGGGAGGGGGCCTGTCTGACAAGCAGAGGTAACTCGTTCCAAAGTCTTGGTCCTGCTACAGAGAAGGCCCTGTCACCTCTGCGCTTAAGACGAGTTCCTGGAACTGTGAGGAGCAACTAGTCCGCTGACCTCAGGGAACGTGGTGGGACATATGGTTGTAGCAGATCAGAGCGATGGGGGGGCGAAACTGTTCAGTGATTTGTAGACATACCTCAGTATTTTGAACTGGATTCGAAAGTGAACCGGTAACCAGTGCAGTGAGGCCAAAACTGGTGTAATGTGCTCTCTTTTGCTTGTACTGGTTAAAAATCGGGCTGCTGCATTCTGGACCAGTTGTAGTCGTGCAATGGAGGTCTGACTGATACCAAACAGGAGTGAATTGCAGTAATCAAGCCTAGATGTAATGAATGCATGTATTACTGTCTCCAGGTTATTTTTGGATAATATGGGCTTCAGTTTAGACAGTCGCCTCAGTTGGAAGAAACATGATTTAACAATCATGTTTACGTGACTGTTAAGTTTCAGGGAAGGGTCCATTATCACGCCCAGATTAGTGACTCTTTGTTTTTCTGACAGGTTTAGAGCGGAGAAGTCGATACAATGGTTTGTGAATGTGTAATTGGGAGGGAACAACATGACTTCAGACTTCTTTTCATTGAAACTTAACAAGTTTAAAGCCATCCAGTTCCTGATGTCAGCCAGGCAGTCGAGCAGAGGTTGAATAGAGCATGTGCCATTGTGTCTTAGGGGGAAGTAAATTTGACAGTCGTCGGCGTAACCCCCTGCGGAACCCTCTGCAGAACCCCCCATTTAAGCTCTGCCTCTGCAGAACTAAAATCCTTGATGGAGACACAAAAGGATCTGTCATCGAGGTAAGATCTGAAGCAATTGAGGGCTGACCCTGTGATGCCCACCCACTGCTCCAACCTAGCAATGAGGATCTCATGGTCGATGGTGTCAAAGGCGGCTGTGAGGTCCAACAGGACAAGCAGCACAGAATCATCGGTATCAGTGGTTAAGAAAATGTAATTAAAGACCTTCAGCAGGGCAGTTTATCAGTGACGTGCAGTCAAGGGAGGCAGGTGAGGCTACACCTCAATCATCAAGACAAGTAAAACACTAACAATGACAAAAGAAAATACATTTAACTACTTGACCGTTCTATAAAACTGTTTTCTGAATTATTTCAACACTTCAGTGGGCAAAATTGTGGAATTTACGCCTTGTCGGTTCAAACTCACCAAAGGAGTAAAAATGCTTTTAGAAACAGCAAAGGGGAACACAATATTTCAGCCTGAAGCTCACACTCTAATGTTTTGTTACCCCATAAGACAGGGATTAATCAATGGCTGAAATTATCTGTTCCCCTTCCAGAACATGGGAACAAATTAATTTACCAGCAAGTCCTTAACTGTGTTCAATCCTCTTATCATGGACAACGTCTTGTGGATTTGGAAACATTTGCTCTTTATTTGTCAAAGTTACCAAAGGTACCCTGGGGGTGGGGGAGGTTATTTTAGCCATCTGAAATAATCTCTTGAGCAAGAAGTCGGTCAAGACTATTAAACGTTAAGAAAGTGAAAGTAAAATGACTTTCCAGTATACTCAGGCGTACTTCAGTCCACGGAGATCCACGCGTACCGGATAAGAGTCAAAGCGGACGCCCGCAGGGCATGTCTGTGCAAAGCTCAATTTTTACAACCGCTTACTCGTACTCTGTGCCTCATATTAAACTGCCTGGTGGCGAACTGTTTTGTATGCAATACCAATGTGTTAAATTCCCCTTCTGCATCCCTGGTCTGGTTTAATGGCCTTTTCTTTTGTTTTTTATCCAAGAGGCAAGCGATCTCTTCCTACTTCTCCGTTGACACCAAGACTGAAATGGTGAGAAATTAAGGAATTTTTCACAAGCCAATTAAAATACCATACCACTTTATTTATAAAACACTTAAAACAGCAACAAGGCCAACCAAAGTGCTGTACAGACAAAACAACAGGTAACACACAAAGCAAAATACAAAATGAGGTAAATCAGAATATAGACATAAAAAAAAAAAAACGATGCAGATAATGACGACAAACCAGTGTGGAGCATACAGGATCAAAACACAGATCATCTTGTGTTGAGAGCTATTGAATAGTAGTGAGTTTTTAAACGGGACTTGAAAACCGAGAGGGAGGGGGCCTGTCTGACAAGCAGAGGTAACTCATTCCAGAGTCTTGGTCCTGCTACAGAGAAGGCCCTGTCACCTCTGCGCTTAAGACGAGTTCCTGGAACTGTGAGGAGCAACTGGTCCGCTGACCTCAGGGGGCGTGGTGGGACATACGGTTGTAGCAGATCAGAGAGATGGGGGGGGGCGACACTGTTCAGTGATTTGTAGACATACATGAATATTTTGAACTGGATTCGAAAGTGAACCGGTAACCAGTGCAGTGAGGCCAAAACTGGTGTAATGTGCTGTCTTTTGCCTGTACTGGTTAAAAATCGGGCTGCTGCATTCTGGACCAGTTGTAGTCGTGCAATGGAGGTCTGACTGATACCAAACAGGAGCAAATTGCAGTAATCAAGCCTACATGTAATGAATGCATGTATTACTGTCTCCATGTTATTTTTGGACAATATGGGCTTCAGTTTAGACAGCCGCCTCAATTGGAAGAAACAGGATTTAACGATCATGTTTACGTGACTGTTAAGTTTCAGGGAAGGGTCCATTATCACGCCCAGATTAGTGACTCTTTGTTTTTCTGACAGGGTTAGAGCGGAAAGGTCGATGCAGTGGTTTGTGATCGTGTCGTTGGGAGGGAACAACATGACTTCAGACTTCTTTTCATTGAAACTTAAGAAATTTAAAGCCATCCAGTCCCTGATGTCAGCCAGGCAGTTGAGCAGCGGTTGAATAGAGCATGTACCATTGTGTCTTAGGGGGAAGTAAATTTGACAGTCATCGGCATAGAAGTGGAAGGGCATGTTGTGTTTCCGGAAAATAGCACCAAGCGGCAACAGGTATAAAGAGAATAGGAGGGGACCCAGTATGGACCCCTGCGGAACCCCCCATTTAAGCTCTGCCTCTGCGGAACTAAAATCCTTGATGGAGACACAAAAGGATCTGTCAGTGAGGTAAGATCTGAACCAAGTGAGGGCTGATCCTGTGATGCCCACCCACTGCTCCAACCTAGCAATGAGGATCTCATGGTCGATGGTGTCAAAGGCGGCTGTGAGGTCCAATAGGACAAACAGCACAGAATCACTGGTATCTGTGAATCTGAAGATGTCGTTAAAGACCTTCAGCAGGGCAGTTTCAGTGCTGTGGAGAGGTTTAAAGCCAGATTGGAAAAGCTCTAAGATGGCGTGATCCTCCAGGAAGCACTTCAACTGGGACTCAACTATTTTCTCCAGTACTTTAGAAACAAATGGGAGTTTGGAGACTGGCCGGTAGTTGGAAACGACTGAGGGGTCAAGGTTTGTTTTTTTCAGGAGAGGCTGGACGGCAGCATGTTTAAAAGATTTTGGCACCACGCCAGTGGATAAACTACTGTTTACTATGGCAAGAATGGACGGACCTAGAGTAGGAAAAACCTCCTTTAGTAGTCGAGGGGGAACCACATCAAAGGTGGAGCCAGAAGGTTTCAAGTTGCACATGACCTGCTCTAGAGAAGATAGAGTGGTGGGTTCAAAATGGTCAAAAGGAGCTACAGATTGAGGTGGGATGGATGGGTCATGAGTTGGAGGGGAAATGAGAGCCCTGGTGGTCGCAATTTTTTCCACAAAGAAATGTAGGAAGTTGTTGCACAGCTCAGTCGAGGCTTCCAGAGGTGATGGTTCAGTGAGGTGGAGAACAGAGTTTAGGGTGGAGAAGAGGACACGTGGGTTGTGAGAGTTTGAGGCAAATATATCAGAGAA